CTTCTAGGAAAGCTAAACATTTTTAACCCTTTGGATTTCCAGTTCTGTGGGCTGCTTATTTCTTGCTCTTCTGCAGAGTCAGCCTTGGGGACTCATTTGTTCACATTAAGAATCATAGCCCTTGACATGTGCTGAGAATATTCTTCCACTCTCTCATCAGACTTTTTTTGTTTGTTTGTTTGTACTGGGGATCAAACTCGGGTCCTTGTGCTTGCAAAGCAGATGCTGGAACCACCGAGCTAAATCCCCGGCCCATCAGACATTTTTTTAATTCCCTCTGGTTCTGGCTGTTGAACCAAGGGTCTTTTCACTGAGCCATAACCTCAGCCATTTTTATTTTGGAAGACAGAATCTTGCTAAATTGCTCAGGCTAGGGTTGAACTTAGGATCCTCCTGCTTCAGCCTCCTAGAGTGCTAGGATTACTGGCACACACCACCACATTAGGCGTTTGTTATTCTTGTAGCTTGTCTGTGTGCCTGAGTAGTGTAGAGTTTATATGAAGGTCACATTTTAGTGTCCATAAATAGTATGTTCTTGGAACACAACTGCACTAATTTGTTTGCAAATTATCTGTGGCCACTTGCTTAATACAACAGTAATACTTATGACAGAGATGGACAGCCCACAAAGCCCACAATGCTTATTCTCTGTCCCTTTACAGAAAAATAATTTGCTAAACCTTGTTATACTAAACAATGTCTTATTTTGGCAACCTGATAGTCTGTTTAATTTTAAACAGCCTTCCATGTGGAGGAATACTTTTGTCCATTTAGTATGGTTGTTTTGTCCAGAATTCTTACAGCTTTTTGTGTTGAAATTATCTATTATTTTTGTTGCAGAGGCTGGGGTCAAACTTCCTCTGGATGTGGATGTAGGTATTCCTGTGGTGCTAAAGATTCAAGCCAGAGCCTCTTGCATGCTAGGCAAGCACTCTACCACTGAGCTAAATCCAAGCTCTTTTTTCACTTTATCTGTTGGCCTTCCTGGGTTCAAATTTGTCCTCTGCTGTGATGGCCTCTGGGCTGGTGGAGTTACATTTCTGTCATTAAGCAAAAAGGCTTGTGGACCTGGGATTTAGCTCGGTGGTTCCTGTACCTGCCTCACAAGCGGAAGGACCTGAGTTCGATCTCCCAGTACAAAAAAAACAAAAGAAAACAGCTTGTGTCTTTACTTTTTAAAACGTCAGGGCTTTTTGTGTTTTTGGTTTTGGTTTGCAGTGATGGGGATTAAATCCAGGGAGCCCTGACCTATATCCCAAGCCTTTTTTTCCCCCTCTTGAGCTTTTTTTTTTTTTTTTTTTTTTTTTTTTTTTTTTTGTACCAGGAAATCAAACTCAGGCCCTTGGGAGATGAAGGCAGGGTTGCACATTTGAGGTAGGTGGTGGAACAACTGAGCCAAATCCCTGGTCCTTTTCTCTTTAGTTTTGAGATAGGATCTCCAAAATTGCTTAGGTTATCCTCAGTGTTGCAGCCCTCCTGCCTCAGCCTCCCAAGTAGATGGGATTATAGCTATCTGCCACTTTGACCAATTAGCCTGCTGATTTTTAGTCTACTCTGTATGGTGAAAATTATTATTGCCCTCTCCCTTTTGGTGCTGGGGATCAAACCCAGAGCCTTACACAACACTAAGGGAACACCTCACCACTGACCTACATCCTCAGTTCCATTGCTTTTGTAATATCAAAGTCTCTTCGTATTGTTTCCTTTTTACAAAACCCTTGGCCTTAATTTCATTTTTTGTTTGTTTGTTTGTTTTTTGGTGCCAGGGATCAAACTCAGGATCTTGTGCTTGGAAGGCTCACACAGTACCACTGAGCGAAATCCTTGGCACCTAGTATCATATATTTTTAGAAATTATTAGACTGTAATATGCATACTGTACAGAAAAATATACACGATAATTGTATATTTGGATGAATTTTGACATAAGCTGAATATATCGGTGTAACCTATAACTGATCAAGAAATAAGTAGGAATTATCTTGTATAGGGTTTTTGTTTATTTTTATTTTTGGTACCAGGGATCGAACTCGGGACCTTGGCGCTTGCGAGGCAGGCACGGTGCCACTGAACTAAATCCCTGGCCCATATTTTATGTTCTTAATGTAAATGTTGCCCTTCTCAACTCTGATTCAGCGTTTCTCAATGCTCTTTCTTGGTTTTTCTGTGGAGTCTGCTGTTTTTCTCATTTCATCAGGCGGCTCCTAGTTTTGTCTGTGGTGATGGGGATGGAAACAGGCCTTGTGCATGAGAGGTGGGTGTTCTTCCGTTAAGCTGCAGCCTCACCTCTTTCCTCAACTTTGTTATTTATATATTTCTGTCTTCCCGGGGCCATGTTGGGTATCAGCTGTGCAGAGGGCTATATGTTCTAGGCAGGGATATTTGACAGTGTACCTTAATTATAGAGAGAAAGTTACCCTGCTACTCACTGCTAATAGCAGTGGAGATACGTCTACCTTCTTGATTTCTGTGATAGAATGTTGGGTGAGCTGTTTCAAGATGTTAAAAAGCAGAGATTAAGGGGCTGGGGATTTAGCTCAGTGGTGCCACTGCTACCTTGCAAGCACAAGGTCCCACATTCAATCTCCAATACCAAAAGAAAAAAGAGCAGAGATTAGAGGGAGAAATAGGGCGTGATTGCCTCATGGATACAGGGCCTCTCTGGGAAGATGAGAATGCTCTGGAAGAAGGCAGTGGCAACAGTCATGCAGCATTTTACATGTGCTGGAAACTATGGACTTATACTCTTTTAATAGTTAAAATGATGCATTTGATTTTTGTTGTCAGTTGTCTGGGTTTTTTGTTTATTTTTGGAGACAGGGTCTTACTATGTAGTTCATGCTTGCCTCAGACTGGCAGCAATCTTCCTGCCTCAGCCTCCTGGGTGCTGAGATTACAGGTATACACCATCTAGCCTGGCTGTTTGTCTGGGTGTTTGGTTTGGTTTTGGTTTTTTGAGACAGGGTCTCACTATGTAGTTGTGACTGACCTGGAACTCACTATGTAGCCCAGGCTGGCCTCGAACTCACAGTGATCCTCCTCCCTCAGCCTTCCGATTGCTGGGATTACAGGTGTGTGCCACCATGCCAGGCACAAGATAGACTTTTTTAATTGATCAGGACATTGAGGCAGCCAGGAGTGGGCAATTAAAGATACTTAAGATTCACATTTAGAAAAGAGAACTTCCAGAACTGCTTCAGGCAGTGGCAAAAATGGTAGGACAAATATGTTTAAAGTAGGGCGTGGTGGGGTATGTATGTTCAATGGTAACACATCTTTCTGGTTTTTTGTGGTTTTTTTGTTTGTTTTTTGTTTTGTTTTGTTTTTTGTCCTGGTGATTGAACTCAGGACCTTGCACTTGCAAGGCAGGCAGGAGAACTACTGAGCTAAATCTCCAGTCCATCTTCCTGTATCCACCCCTGCTCTCCTTTTCTCCCCCCTCCTCTTTCTTTCTTCTCTTTCTTTCTTTCCTTCCTTCCTTCCTTCCTTCCTTCCTTCCTTCCTTCCTTCCTTCCTTCCTTCCTTCCTTCCTTTCTTTCTCTTTCTAAATGTGGGCTTGGTGACACACACCTGTAATCCCAGCACTCAGGAGGCTGAGGCTGGAGGAGGATCACTGCAGGTTCAAAGTCAGTCTGGGCTACATAGTGAAACCCTGTCTCAAAAAGCCAAAAAATAAGGGCTGGGGATTTAGCTCAGCGGTTTGGTGGCCTGCCTTGCAAGTGCAAGGACCCGAGTTCAATCTCCGGTACCAAAAAAAATACAAAAAAATAAACAAACAAGAAATAAACTGGGGGTGGTGGTGCACGCCTGTAATCCCAGCACTCAGGAGGCTGAGGCAGGAGGATCTCTGTGAGTTCAAGACCAGCTTGGGCTACTTAATGAGTTCCAGGTCAGTCTCAACTACATAGTGAGACCCCACCTGCCTCGCAAGTGCAAGGTCGTTGTTTTCAATCCTTGGTGCCCAAAAAAAGCCAAATAAATAAATAAACATTCATTTTTTTACAATGCCCACATAGGCACACCTTATCACCCAGCATATGTGTTCACTAAAAGATAGCACTGACATGTTACAGCTGGATATTTATATTAGCTGAAAACTAAAAATGAAAACTCACTCTTAGTAGAATAGATTAATGGAGAGTTGTTTGTCTACTACAGGCATCAACAGAACAAGATGGACCTGTTCACAACTAATTCCATAGAAAGAAGTCAGTTGTGGAAACTTTGAAAATAAGCTTGAGAAATCTTTAATGTTAGTTTCTGGGACAATGGTTACCACTTGTGCAATTCTTGCTTGGGATCTGAATACATAAGTATTCATTTTGTGAAAATTCAACAACTTGTACCCTTGGGATTTGTACATTTTTTGTGTGCGTTGTACTTCAATATAATTTGTGTATGAAGGATAGGTAATGCCTATTTAATGATTCCAATATAAAAATATTAGCTGGGCTTGGTGGCACACATCTGTAATTCCAGCACTCAGGAAACTGAAGCAGAATTGCTGCAAGTTTAAGGCCAATCTGACTACAAAGCAAGAATCCTGACTCAAAAAAGAAAAACATGCCAGGCATGTTGGCATGGTGGCACATGCCTGTAATCCCAGCACTCGGGAGGCTGAGGCAGGAGGATTGTGATGACCAGCCTGGGCTACATAGTGAGTTCCAGGTCAGTCTCAACTACATAACAAGACCCTGTCTCCAAAAAAAAAAAAAACACACACACACACAAATTTTTAAAGTTAACTTGGGAAAACAAATGAGTAGACCCAAATACCAATATCTGCAGGATTCAAATATGTTCTCATTCTCATTTTCCTCTAATTCAATACCCTAATTTTTGGTATTTTTTGAATTCTCTGAAAATATCAAATGTAAAAAAAATCAGTATTTTAGGTTATATCTAAGAAGGCTTCACATTCATTTGCTACTCAATTGTAGTTTCTGTGACTCTTGTTTGGACATTTAAGTGCATGAGTGATTTCTGGATTTATTTTACAGGCAGATTTTGAAAACAAACCAGTAAATGGCCTCAAGACAGGATCCATGGAATACAGTAGCGGTGGTCATGGAGAAGAACAAAGATCGGAAGTGAACACACAGCAGCTTGGAAATGTGACAAAACATGAGGAAAGTATGGCAGGTATCGAGGTGGAGAGGTGGATGCAAAACAAGAAATCACACTTATCTGAGCACGTAAATGGAGACTTCAGTGCAAATGTCACCGAAGCTGAAAAATCCAAACAGCCTGAAGATGACAAGAATCAAAACAAACCTCAAAAATTGTTTACACAAACCATAAGAAATGGCATTAAAAATGTGCCCTGTCTAACAGCTGAAGCAAACACACCATTTAACAAATTCAATATTGAAGAATTCGGCAAGGCATTGGGAAACCATCCCTACAAACTCCTGAAAGACGCTGCGAACCATAACAATGCCATGAGCTCCACCGTCTCTGGTACGAGCTGTGATCACCTCAAGGACAAGAGTAACATCTTCCTTTTCCAAAAGCCTGGCTTTAATTGCAAATCTGAAGGTTCTCCAAACTTAAACAGTCAGACCAGCACACGTGGTGAAGGTGACCACCAGCCTAAAACCCCTGAGAACCGAGCAAGTAAAGACCTGCGAGATGGCTCCCCCATGCCACCCACGCTCCTCTCCCTCATGAAAGACAGGAGGCTCACTCTGGAGCAAGTGGTCGCCATCGAGGCCCTGACCCAACTCTCTGAAGCCCCGTCAGAGAACTCCTCACCATCCAAGGCGGAGAAGGAGGATGAAACAGCTCAGAGAACAGCTAGTTTGCTTAACAGCTGCAAAGCCATCCTCTACTCCGTAAGAAAAGACCTTCGAGACCCTGACTTCCACGGACAGCCGCAAAGCACTCCTCACTGTCCTCTGGAAAAGCAGAGTTCACGCCCCACAGCGATATTCAATGGCCAGAACACCCTGACCAAGCCTCAGATTGCCCCTGCTACTAACCAAGCACCCACCAAGCCTCTTGAACATTCGAAAGTCAAAAATTCAATATCCTTTTTAATACCAAAATCCAATTCTTCAAAAATCGATGCTAAGAAAAGTGTCACCGGAAGTAGGACTGGTCTTGATGATGGTTCACAGAATTTGCATCAGGTGCCACCAACAAGTAATAAATTGGGATGTTGTAACCAATTGCTGGACAGCAGTGAAAATTTGAATTCCAAGGAAGATCAGTCATTTCAGGACACATCTTACAGCCAAATTGAGGAAGATGTTGCAACGCAGTTAACACAACTTGCATCAATGATTAAATGCAATTATATAAAGGCAGAGGACAAAAATGCTGAGAGTCCACCAACAAGCCTTGTTGCCCGTAATGCACAACAAAATAGTCAGGAGAAGGGCACAGTACCACAGAAACCACCTTCAACTGTTCAAAACAATCATAGTTTATCTTTAGTAAAGCAAAAGAACACAACCCAGAAGAAGGCAAAGTCTACCCCCACAAGAGATCGGCGGAAAAAGAAGCCCATGCTCATAACCTGTCAAGAAAATGATCAGAAACAGCAGGAGCATATGTCCTATGAGTATAGTAAGTTACATGACATTTGGATTGGATCCAAATTTCAAAGATTTGGCCAGTTTGGTCCACATGATTTTCCTCTCCTGCTGGGAAAAATTCCTCCCTTTTCCAAAGTTTTGAAACCACTGGCTCAAGCCAGTACCACCTTACAACACAAAAAATTATTTCCTCCCCTCAGTCAGATCAAATTTGAGCGATACCCTGAATTAGCACAGGAGAAAATGGTGAAGGTTGAACCACTGGATTCCCTTCCGGTGTTTTATCCGAAGGTCGAATCGCAGGGGCAGGTGTGTGTGGATAAAGCCCACAGTCCTCAGGTACAGGCAGCAGTCAATGGCAACCTGAAAGCTCACCCCTTGTCCCCACCCTCCTGTCCACCTAACCAGTGCGCTAACCTGGTGGCTGGCAGTGATCAAACACGGTTTCCGCAGGATGCCCGAGAGCACCTCAGGCCACAGAGACTGGCAGCGCCGCCTGCTGTCTCTCCAGAGACTCCCTTGACGGACCCTGCACAGATTCTCAGGAACGTGAATGTAGTCAGTTCAGGTGGAATTACAGTGGTTTCTCCCAAAAGCGAAGAGGAAGTCTGTTCACCTGGTGTCGGAGCATCCGAGTTTTCCCCTGTAGACAGTGCACAGAAGAATTTTCATGACTATGCCATGACGTTCCTCACTAATCCTGCCAAAAACTTAGTGGCTGCAACAAAAGATGCAGAAGTGCCAGCCTGCGACTGTCCTGGTAAGTGCTTGGGTGGACTTGTACTTTCACCTGCACAACTTGCTGTACCTCATGACAATTGAGTTTTGATTCATCTGTGGTATTTTTGCCCCATTCTTATTCTAGCTAAGACAGACTTAATTCTGTACCCATTTTTCTGTTGGACCTTTGTTCATTCTGCCCAGAAAAATGGAAATTTCAGCTCATAATTTGGAAAAACAAAGGTAAACGTTTTCTGGTGGAAAATATGCTGATTTGTCTCAGAGCCAAAATGTCTCAAGTTGTGTATTGTTGTAGCTTAAGAATGAACTCGCCTAATACTTCATTACATTTGTTGTCTCTGTATGTGAAAGAATTTTAAGCTATAAGGATTTTATTAAAAATGTTTCTTTATGAGACAAAATGCATAGAGAATGTAAAACGTATGCACAATTTAGCAAATAACCATTGAAGGTATCTGCAATTTCCATACCAGACCTAGAATAGTTTTCTTTGTCTTTACAAAATTGGCATGATTTCGAGCCCAGCCTGGACTACATAGCGAGATCCCCTCCTCAGGGGGAAAAGAAATGTACTATTTCAACAAAACAACAAATAGGTTTGTGTTAAACTAATCATGGACGGATTTCTAACCCATGTATTTATGTTTTGTGCCTTAGGAGTCACTGAAAGAACATGCAGAACAAACAACTAGTTTTATCAGTGTTAAAAGCCCTAAGAAAATCTTGCTGGGGTGAAGATTCTGAGTTTCTATGAGGAAATTTGTTCTATATTTGAATACACAAAAAAGTGAATTCAAATCCTGTACTGATTAGTCACTGGCTATGTTTAAATTTCATGTCCAGTGGGTCAAATATAAGAAAAAAATCTGTTGACTCTAACATAGCTGTAAAAAAATAGGGAGATAAAATAGATTGTGTAATTAAAGTTTGTAAAGCAGCTTGAAGCCTCATATTTCAGCTGTTAATACAATTGTGATAGTATGGAATTAGTAACTTGTTGTGAACCCCACTTAAATTGGCATAGTAATTCAAGCAGTCTCACTAAAATATCACCCAAATCAGAAAACTCAAGATTTGATTTTAATAAGCTTGGTTGATTCATCATAGAAGTTGGTGGTTCATTGGTACATTCCAAAATGGGGAGTTATGGGATAGTTTGAAGGATAAATATATTATCCTGTTTTTGTTGTTGAGCCACAGTAGAAAAATTGTGAAGTATAGCAATGACCTTCAGTTCTTGTTACCCAAAGTACATTCATATTATTTCTAAAGTGTTATCTTTCACATCCTCTGCTCCTCAGTCACCATATGGTTTTAGCAAAACCCCCATGCAAGGCACCAAGGCCTGGCCCTTTGGAGAGGGATCTCATCATTACTACAGGATGACATGGGGATGAAATGGGAAGATGAAAGTTCTTAGGCCAGGGACAGAAGACAGGAGTTAGGATGATGGTTTTTGCTACATATCTTAAACTGTGCCAGGCTTTGACTTACGTTCAAGGAAGAAGGAAGAACTTATAATCCCCAGTTGACAAATGAGGAAACTCACACATAGGTGTTCACAGTATGTGACTGAAATGCAACTGGGAGACAGGTAGTCTATGCTTGTTTCCTTCACTCTCTGTTGCTTCCAAACTGAAGTTTAGCCAGGCAGGAGAGCAACTGCATAAAATCACAGCACTCTCGGAAGCTGAGGCAGGAGCACCACTAATTTGAGCCCAGCCTGGGAGACTTGGTGAGAACCTGTCTCAAAATTTTAAAAAGGGGTGTGAGGTGGTGTGGCTCAGTGCAGAGGCCTGGAGTTCAATCCCCATTTACCCTACCACCACCAAATAAAAGACCCTTTCCTCATACTAGGTAGCTAGTCCCAGTGTGTAGGACGTAGGTCAGCCAGGTTCCAAGCTGATCAGATTTTTGTAATATACCTGGAACACTTTTATACACTGTCAGTTCCGTGGCCTCCTTTAATCATGAAAGGTGAGGCTACTGTGCTCAGGTGTAGGGGAAGGGAACTGAAAGACAGAAATTAAAAAATAAACAGCTAGAAATCACCCCTGTCAGAACCTCATACCTGCGGGAGCAGGGCCTTGTGGGGTATGTATTGTGTTGTAGCAAAACTAAGTAACAGACCTCTACCTCGGTGTCCCTCAGATTGAACACTGTTGGCATTAAAGACCCTGGTGTTCTCTGTACAGGGGACTCCCTGGTCTGTTGGTATTTGACAGCACTTCTGGCCTCTACCCGCTAGGTGCCAGTCATACTGCACACACGGCCAGCTACTACAGTGTCACACCAGAGAAGGCCTGCAAGGGTTGCCACATGTCCCCAGGCTAAGGTCGCCCCTGCTGCAGAGCAACGGTATGAACAGCCGCTGCTGTCCACCTCCACCAAGTTAAAATGTCTTTAATAGCTCTTGCTCCAGAAGCCTCAGAGATACAGTACAGTGATTCTCTGTATTCGGTCTGTACTCAGAATGATGAATGAGTTTGTTGTAGACAGACCATGGCCGGAAATGTCTACAATGCAGATATTCCCCGAAGATTCTAGTTGCACAGGACTCTAAGGGGTTAAAGGTACTGTTTTCCAAGCAATACATAATTTGGACTCACAAGACCACGAATGGTACAGAAATAGTAGGCACCTCATTGTCCCCTTCTCTAAAGAAAAGCTCTGGTTATACTTTTCCATATGAATAAACATTACTTCTAGTTTTATAGAATTTAGGTCCTTTTAAAACAATGTTTTTGCAGCCAGGCATGCCAGTGCATGCTTCTAATCCTAGCACTCAGAAGGCTGAGGCAGAGGATCACTGCCACAAGTTCGAGGCCAGCCTGGGCTACATAGTGAGTTCAAGGCTGGCCTGAATTACAGGGCTAGACCCTGTCTCAAAAACAAAAAAACAAAAAAACAAAAACACAAACAAAAAACCACAAGGTAAAACAATATTTAACTTAATGAAATAGTAGACTTTAAGTTGTTTCAATAACTTTCTTGTATTCCATAGTATAAACTCTGTAATTTATTTTCTTAATAGTTAGGCTTTTTTTTGTTACTGGGGATTGAAATCGGGACCTTGCCATTTGCAAGGCAGGTGGCAGAACCACTGAACTAAATCCCCCACCCACCTTTCACTCCTTGACATGTTAGGTTTTTCCTTTTTTCCGAGGGGTTCAGGGCCTCGAACTTGGACTTGCACTTGTGAGGCAGGCAGCAGCACCTCTGAGCTAAACCCCTGGCCTATCCTCTTTTTTGATACTACAGAAAATTGCAACAAGGAATATTTCTTGTACATTTACGTTATAAATATATATCTATGTAAGTGTATAGTAAAATAAATTCTCAACAAATGGGGCTCAATTTTAGTAGAATTCTGTAGCCAAGCTTTTCAAATCTGTTGGTCTTGGATAACTTTAACTTGTACCTCAATTGTAACAAAAAAAATTTTTTTTTCAAGAGGGAGATAAAAGAATATACATGGCCAATACCTTAAAACATTTTTTCTCCTCTGATTCTTGGAGGTAGAATTAGGAGTAGGAAGGGAACATGAACAAGTTAAATTCCGAGGGCCTGGGCTTTTGCTCAGTGGTGCCGCCACCTTCCTCGAAAGCTCAAGGTCTGGAATTGGATCCCCGGTACCAAAACAAACAAACAAACAAACAAACAACCCAACAATGGAAATTCCGGACCTACTGTCCTTATCCTTAATTATCCTAACCTAAGCCTTGTCTATATTCATCGTTCTAAATTTAAAAATAAAAATAAGTGAAAACAGCTCTTCCTTGCCCCTGTGCATTTTTGTAAAGCTTTGGGTCTAATAATCTTGTTCCTTCCACAGATCGAGGTATACAAAAAGACAAAGGCCCATATTATACACACCTGGGGGCAGGACCAAGTGTTGCTGCTGTCAGGGAAATCATGGAGAATAGGTGAGGAAATGCGCGTCCCTGTCAGAACCCTTCAGTAGCGTGGACCTGACGATAAAGAGCGAGGCCCTGGGGATGCTGTGACCCAGATGGAGAGGATGGAGAGGGAGCCTTCGGCAGGGGCCGCGCTCTTGGGGCGCAGGCCCAGCCGCTGCGTAGCCTCAGGCTCAGTTACCCTCCAGTCCCTGTAGGAATTCTTATTTTTTACTTCATCGTCTAGTGCGAGATTCAGATTGCCCTGAGAACCACGCTAAGCCGCGCTGTTTTTAAAGAGCGATCTTTAAGGAAAAGTAAACCAAACTGGATAACAAAAATATTCAGCCACACAAAAGCAAATTGTGAACAAAAGGAAATGCTTAGGAGTATTTCACTTTCGAACTTGTGTTTGCCTCTATTTGTTGTGCACATAGATGTTAAAAGCTACAGTTGTCAAGTCTGGATAGCGATTGATGAGAACATTCTTTCCTTGTCGTTTGCACTCAGGTATGGCCAAAAAGGAAAGGCGATAAGGATAGAAAAAGTTGTGTACACGGGAAAAGAAGGAAAAAGCTCTCAGGGGTGTCCAGTCGCTAAGTGGGTAAGTACTTTGTGTTGGTAAATGCTGCTAAATGGATTGACCCTACAGGTTATGTAATAAATGAAAACATGGCCCAGAAAAATAGCACTCGCAGGAGGATTGCTGCGAGTTTGAGGCCAGCCTGGGCTACGTAGTGAGGACTTTGCTCTAAAAAAACAAACAAAACAAAACAAAAAAGAAAAAGAAAGCTAGCCACTTTTAGGAAGAAATAAAGACAAATAGCCGTAGGCAGATAGCAAGGAAGCAATTTCTCCTTGCTTGAGATTTAGCTTTTGGTGCAGGTTCACACCTTTGTGATATTTAAACAGGTGTTGTTTTTGGAGGGGTGTTTCCTTTTTTTTTTTTGGTACCAAGGTTCGAACTTGGGACCTTGCCCTTGCAAAGCAGGAGGCAGAACCACTGTGCTAAATCCCCAGCCCATTGTTGTTTCTTTATTTTAAACACTAGAAGAGCAGTTATAGATGTTAAGTATTTCTTTTCAAATTTATTTCCTTTGAGTATCTCAGACATATAATTTCTTGTAATAAATTTATTTCTTTAAAAGTTCTGTAGCATGAGTTTCTTCTTTCCTTCACCTACAGTTAAGAATCTAACAGGCTGACTCCCATTTTAGGTTGCTGCAATGTCACCGTTTTCTCTTGAGTCTCTCAGCGGATGCTTCTTGGGTCATGGGCTGGGCTTCCTTGGCAGGGATGTATGCACTGAGAATTAAATGAGCTGGTGTGGTGGAAGGAACCTGTAGTCCCAACTATTGAGTGATTGGTTTGTTTGGTTGTTTGGTTGGTTTTTTGTTTTTTCTTTTGGTACAGGGATCGAACTCAGGACCCTGTGCTTGTGAAGAATGAAGTGGAACCACTGAGCTAAATCCCTGTCCCTATTCCCAGTTATTTAGGATGCTGAGGTGGGAGGATCTCTTGAGCTCATAAATTTGAGCCCAGCCTGGGCAACAGAGTCCTCCATCTCCAAAAGAGAGATACAGAAATGAATGAGGAAAAGGATCCAAGTTTGCAAAGTAAAATAACCTTAAGAATGTGGGAGGAGGTAGTCCAAAGTAGAGAAACAGCAAGTATAAAGGTTAAGCAAAAGGGTAGAATTTTTGTTCTTTTGCTTTTTTCTAAAGCGCACAGTAGTTTGGGGTTGTTGTTGTTGTTGAGACAGGGTCTCTGTGTAGCCCAAGGTGGCCTTGAACTCAGTATGTAGCCTAGGCTGGTCTAGAATTTGAGGTGATACTCCTGCCTGAGCCTCCCAAGTGATGGAATTATAGGTGTGCACCACCACACCTGGCCCAAAAAGTTGTGTGTGTGTATTGGGCTATCTTCAAAAATTCCAAGACTTTAAGAGGACTAGAAAAAAACCAAAACACCACATAAATCAAAGCTGCCAGGACAGAAAGCTGCTGTCTCTGAAATGTTGCACTTGAACTTTGGCTGGTGGAAGTTCCCTACCTGCTGGTACTGCCAGATAAAAATGAGCTGCACACCGAAATTTATGTAGACATAGGCATGGAGTGTTAAATCATTTCTTAAATGAATTGTAATTTTCTAAATCCTTAAATGAAAGTCTAACCAGCTGGGCGTGGTGGCACATGCCTGTAATCCCAGCACTCAGGAGTCTGAGGCAGGAGGATCTCTGTGAGTTTGAGACCAGCCTGGGCTACCCAGTGAGTTCCAGGCCAGTGAGTCCCTGTCTCAAATGCACCCCCCCTCAAAAAAAAAAAAAAAAAAGAAAAAAAAAAAAAAACAAAAAACTAACCCAATGATTTAATTTTTTTTTTTTTTTTTTTGTACCAGGGATTGAACTCGGGTCTTTACGCTTGCAAGGCAGGCCACCAAACCACTGAGCTAAATCTCCGGCCTGAAAGTAGCCATTTAAAACATGCTGAAATAGGGCAAGTCAGACTTTTTATGCCTTTAATACCTTAATGACAAGTCAGAACTGTCAGCATCTACAGTTTCACAGCTTCAGGCCATGAAAGGGTCATGTCTGGGCAACTTAGTGACTTAGCAAAACCCTCTCTTGAAATGTAAAAAACAAAAATTTTTTTTAAAGGCTAGGGATGTTGTTCAGTGTAATATACCCCCCTCAATCAATACTGTTCATTAGGCTAGACGAAGGAAAAAGATCATAAAAATAGAAGTATACCATTTATTTACAGTTATTGAGGACTGTACTTGTGAAACAACTACTCACTAAAAAATAAAGCACTGTTAGGTTCCCAGAAGCCCTAATGATCAGTCTCTCATGGTTTTTTGTTTTTTTGTTTTTGTTTTTGTTTTTTACCTGGATCAAACTCAGGACCTCACACTTGCCAGGAAGGCACTGTACTGCTGAACTAAATCCCCAGCCTCTGACTTTGTGGTTATAGGTAATAACATTTTGCCCATTGACATGTGTATTTCTCAATAATAAAGTTTTGTTTTGCTCTTTTGAGAATTGCCCTTACATAGTCTCTTGTCAGTTTGTGAAAATAAATGTCAGAGATTCATTCCGAGTGTCTGGTACTGAAAGCTGACATGGATTCATTAAAGTCTCTGTTCCTCCCTTCTGACTCCTTACTGAGCTATAAGTAACAAGGAGCAAAATAGCTGCTCATGGCTTCTTTGGGGACCTGTGCAGAAGGGAGTGGGCCTGAGTGTTGGGGTTTGCTCTGGTTTCTCCTACATTTCAAACCCTCCCTGGTGTGATGATGGTGCTGTAATAGAATTGTGATGTGTAGTGATGTTGTTTTTGCCATTTAGAGAGTTTTTTTGTTTTTTAATGAGAACAAAGAAGATCTGTAGCATAAAGATTTACATAGCTACTTCTTTTTCTTTTCTTTCTTTTTTTTTTCTTTTTTTTACTGGGGATCGAACTCAGGACCCTGGGCTTGCAAGGCAAGTGCAGTGCCCCTGAACTAAATCCCCAGTCCAGTAGCTACTTTCTATATAACCCTGTTTGAGTGTTACTAGGTACAATAAAGGTATAAATAATGCTATTTATTTAGCATTTTTTCTATGTGGTCAGCATAGCCTTTATTTTCTTTCAGAAAAAATATTTCTTTTCAGAAAAAAATGTTACATCTCAGTATATAGTAATATATTACTTTTCACACAAAAATCCATGCATTAGGAATAAAATAAAGCTCTGTGGCTGAGCAATTTAAAATATAGATCAAGGAGTATTCCGTAGTATAATGATGATAACACACTCAAGTATTGCAATTCCACATCTGTGAAAACAATGTAGATGTCACAATTTATTGGAGGGCAATCCTCCAACTGCCTAGAAGGGAGGTCGGAGAGGGCTAAAGACAAAAAAAAGACAACAGACTTGCATAATTTCAAAGTATATTGGGGACCGGAAGGTCAGTGCTTCAGAGTGGGCAAAGACAAAGACTCCGAGGGAGCCATCATTTATGGGGTACGCATAATAATCAAAGGGAGCATTAGGTGACTTGGGGGTGGGGTAGTCCTATGTTGATCTTAGGTCACTAAGGATCTTCCACTGATGAGGACAAGTGGGGCATTCTTTCAATAGTAGGTGGAACAAGATAGCAGGTTAATAAAGATTTGTCCTTCTCCAGGTGAAAGCTTTCTCTTTTCCTTATTACTCTGTTTGTAGAGAACCAGGGAGTCTTCAGCTGTTGCAATCTTGCCCTTGACTGTCACAGTATCTCAGAACCATTGTGACCTCCACTTGTGACCAGAGACACAATGGAGTTTTATTCCCACATGCCATAGCCTGCTTGTGGGCAAGGTGATATTGGGCCTTAGGCAGCTGTAGTCGTACTTTAATTATGAAATTAGTTTCCCCTGCAGATTTATCTAGAATGGTTCTCTACAATAATTGACATATGTTATAAAAATCTTGAGGTTTCCAGCACTTCGGAGGCTGAGGCCAGAGAATTGCCAGGAATTCAAAGCCAGCCTGAGCTACATAGCAAGACCCCATCTCAAAAAGAAATAAATCTCGACAGTTAATCCAGCTTTAGTTTTTATAGTTTCCAGGTTATCTTATTTAAAATACGCTGCTCATTGCCAGTGCTTGAAGCAGCGCTCAGCTTGGTATTGTTAATGAATTTGTGTTAGTAAATGGTTACGGAGATCACAGGCCCTGGGTTACAAAATGGAATACTTTGAACTTGAATATGTGGCTTCAAGTAATATAGCTTTGCTATTCACGAGTAGCTATCTTCTGAAACGAGAGAACTTTGAGTATTTAAGCGTGAATTCTCCTGAAGTTGTCTAACCCAAACTTGACCCTCAGTAGAGGTTATAATGAAAAGAGAGTGAAGGGATTAGATCTTTTCATACCTAGTCTTTTTTCCCCCTCAGTAATGAGGGAGCATTGACCCCAGGCCTCATTTATACTAGATAAGTGCTGTACCACCAGCCCTTTCCCTTTTTAAATCTTATGCTGAGACATGATCTGGCTAAACTGCCCAGTTTCTCCTCAAATTTCAGATCCTCCTTCCTCAGCCTCTCAAGTCCCAGTGGCTGGGATTACAGAAGCATAGTCCCACACCTGGCATCTGCATAGTCTTCAGGACGTTCCCATCAAATCATTTTGAATGGCACTAGTGCGGCCAAGTCCTATTTGGGGTAGGGGAGAATATGATGGCCATTTTGAACCAAGGTCTCTTAGTAGACTCTTACCTGGTGGACTGCATTACTTTGAATTAACTTTTTATTTTGGGTAGTGTACATGCCTCCTTTATATTTGATATTAAACTAACCTAAATGAAGATTTTATGTTTGTTTTGTTTGTGGTAATCACTGTGTGCAGGCTTATGCTAATAGTAATGGAATCCTGCCCTATTCTTGTTGGCTGTACTTGACTGTTTTATTCTTTCTTTATTTATTTATTTTTTCTTTTTTGTACTGGGGATCAAACTTGGGACCTTTCACTTGAGAGGCAGGTGGTGGCACTACTGAGCCTAACCCCAGCCCTCACTTTTGAGTTTTGACACAAGGTCTCACTATGTATTATCCCACAGTGGCCACAAAGTTACAGTGATCCTC